AAAAACTTCCTTTTCAATTACACTTAGGCGTCGAATAATGATTCTGGATAAAAAAGACACAATCGCAGTTCTGAAATAAAAATCCATATATTCTAACGTTTCGGCTATCTACACTTTAGCCATCATCAGAGTGAATAAGATGATAATCTGGAAAGAATAGAAATTCAGATAAGAATACAGTAAACTAAAATATCAGATCAGATTTTATCTATACAAATTAAGGAAATTTGACATCTCTTGGTATTTTACATTGATGTACGGATTATTTTGTCTAATAGCTATTGCCTCCGCTAAGGTCTAATACTTCAGAAAAAGAATGAACAGAGAAGCAGTTGGATATATTGTTAAGAACAGGGCTGTTATGGTCTTCTACGAAGTGCTTGTGGATACTGCTGCTACTATAACGGTGCTGTTTACTTCTTCGTTCCAAAGTACAAGTGGTGTATCCGAAATATGAGGCATTACAGCCATCAATGGGGCACACGAAACGATACACAACACGAGTCCTTGTGGAACTGGTTTTCCGGGGTCTTGTAGAGAATGCAGATAAAAATTTGATAGGTCTGTAGAATCCAGTTACCGAGACTGATTTGTGATCATCTGTGGACTTGACATGATCTTTTACAATATTACGCAGTAATTTCTGGTCATGCTTGAAAGTCGAAAGGTTGGTAAATTCTACAAAATAATTTATTTCTGATTTATTCATGTCGTCGCTACTAGTTGATTGATACTTTGCAAGGGTGTTATTGACGGTTCGTTCCACTATGGCTTGAGGATAGTTACAGTTAGCAAAAACTTGTTTAATTCTCTGAATTTCTGAATGAAACGATGGCCAGTCGGATGAATATTTCAATGCCCTATTGACAAGTGTTTTCACGACCGACTTTTTATAGTTTAGAGGTGAACAGGATTGGAAACTGGAGTAGATACCCTTGTCAGTAGGTTTGATGTAGACTGCTGTGGATAGGTTTCGATTGTCTTGAATACTGAAGTTGATATCCAAGAAATGAAATTGACTCCAGAATATGATTGAAATGGTTGAAGGATTGTGATGTCATCCACTCCAGACTGTGATTGGTTGTGGGATTGTGATGTCATCCATTCCAGACTGTGATTGGTTGTGGGATTGTGATGTCATCCGCTCTAGACTGTGATTGGTTGTGGGATTGTGATGTCATCCGCTCTAGACTGTGATTGGTTGTTGGATTGTGATGTCATCCGCTCTAGACTGTGATTGGTTGTTAGATTGTGAGGTCATCCACTCCAGACTGTGAATGATTGTGTGATTGCCTCTTCAATATGCTATGTTATGGTTAATTTAATATCAATCTAACAAAAAACTCAACTTTCTAATCTAAGCTATGACTGGGACTTCCCTGCCATTTATATAGCCTAAAAATTTCCCCTAGATTGGATACAACAAATTTTCCTCATTTGTTCCCCTAGAGATGGAAGACAGAACTGAAGGGGGGATTAATTTAAAGGGGTCTCAGAAAGAGTTGATTTATAAAAATGAAAAACATTAATTATATTTGTCCAGATTTTAAATAAAAATAGATCTATGGGGAAAACTTTAAATCTATTCAAATCCAATTTATAATATACAAATGAAACATAGATATATATAAATATATATTGTAAATCATATTATAAAATAAAAGTATTGCAAGTGGCATGCTTGCTCATAATAGAGTATATATTTTTATATACCATAAGTGATAAGAACACTGCAACATAACATTTGTTGGGTTTATAACATTTCTCTTGAGTTTTGGTCATCAAAAATGTCACTACGGGATTTTATGTTTCCATTTCTTCAAATGCACTTGTGCATGGAGAAGGTGTACGTATAGGTTTAATGATATTGTGGATAATAATATCCAATAAAGTATATTTTCAAGGGATCCTATAAACCAAATCCTATGTAGTAATCCTATCTTAGAGGATTTGTTATAGGATCCAATGAAGGAGTAAACCATAGGATACAATGAAGGATTTGTCAACCCTTGCACATGATGAATTGTCAACTTATTTATAAAATAGTTAGTTAAAATACACTTAAAGCATGGAATATAGCTCATTTACAAGCCTTGGCTGAGTCTTCCTGCCATTTTTGGAGCCCAGAGACATATGCCAGCTAAATTAGTGCCCATCAAAATGTTAATAAAAGTGAATAATTGAGCAACAAGATTCCACAATTATTAAATATATATTGGATCTTGTTAAGAATAAGCACTCCAGACATTACCAGGGTACTGGGTACGTAGGTATCCTTAACCAGAACACTACTGGGGGTGTATTCTAAACAAGGTCAATTGAATGAATAATACAAACAAATTAGGTCTATTTAAACATTTTTAAGAATTATGTATCAATGTAAAAAATACATCGTGTTTTATTAACAAGAGGGGTCAAAATATTCCAGTGATAGGTAGAAATTTTACAATATTGAATAGTAGCAGGTTTTTTTATGGTGAAACAACAGAAAATAACAAACAAAACTGGAAAATTTATCAAAATTAGACAAAAGTCAAAAGCTACCCATGACCAGGACTAAAATTTCCTCAATAATACTAAAATTTATGGCTTGCAAGTGACATACGGTATATTTTTAGACCTGGAATGTTGCTACTTGATTATTTTTTAGGAGATAATTCATTATTTAGTTTTTAATTCATTCATTAGCATTAGGAGATAATTCATTAGCAATTTAGTTGATTATTTGTTAGGAGATAATTTATCCAGCAGATATTTCATGGCTCTAAAATGGCAGGCAAGCTCCAGATACAGCTTGAGAATTAGATATATTCGAATTTATGCCTGACTATAAATGTATGTATATAATAAATATAATTAGATGTATTATAATACATGCCTGCCTACAACTGTATTATGTATATAATAAATATAAAAATTAGCTAGCCCTATATTAATATTCCAATCTAAGACTACCCATAATCCATAAATGAGCACTAACAGTAACAGCCTACTCAGCTAACAGCTGCTACCTTCAAAGGCTTAAACACTAATAGAGATTAGTGAAGAAATTGAACTACCTATATATTATAATATAGGTATATACCTATATAAATAATAATAAGACTAACTTAAGCCGGAGGAAGACAAAGCCGAGTGGTTCACGGCTGATTGGTGGATGTCCGGAGAGATCCAAGGCGTTCGATTCAGGGCTTATTGGTGCACAAAATTGGTGGCGCACGGCTGCGCTCCCTAAGGGTTGGGGTTAACGTGTCTTTTACTGCCGTGACCGCGGCTACATAATAATTCTAATAAGTTTCATAATCCGGCTGAATATAAATCCTATAATCCTACTAAGCATTAAATTAGCTCGTTAGAATTTTAATTTAATAAATTTATCGAACTAATGACTATAGAAAAGTTGCATAAAATAATACTAATCTTCATCATTCTAGGTTAACAAGGTTTGAATTGTGTTTGAATGATATATGATATGTGTGATATATGATATATGTCACATATCATATATTTGTGATATATGATATATGATATTGTGTGTGATATGATCAAAGGAGAGGGTGGGAAGACAAAGATGACCGTGCCGAATGTTTTAGTACGTTGTTTCTGTTTTTTAGGATGTTGCATAACGAATTTTTTTATTTTTTAATATTTCTTTGAATACGTTTTAATTGAATTTTTTGTTAACATACGAGTGTGAACTTTTAGTTTTTTGATGGTAGTAAAAGAGCTTTTATGTAGCGTACATGACCGATTTAAAGGATTATTTCATAATCCTGCTGACTATTAATCCTATAATCCTACTAACCGGTTTAGCTCGATGCGATTTAATTTTATAAATTTATAAAATTAATGGCTATTGGGGTTGCGGTTAACGATCCTTTTACTGCTGTGACCGCGGCTAGATGAGAATTCTAATAAGTTTCATAATCCTGCTGACTATTATTCCTATAAATCATTTTAGCTTGTTAGAATTTATTTAAAAAAATTTTCAAACTAATGACTATAGTAAATATGCAATAATAATGATAACAATCATCATTGTAAGTTGACAATTGGTTTGAAATTTCCGTTTAACACAATTAATAATTTCAAGGAATTTAATTTTAATTAAAACGTCATGTAAACTCACTATATCTTCATTATAAACGTTTCGCAGGCTCACTCAACTGATATTAAAATTGAATGATAAAATGAATAAATAAAGTATAAATTAAATTTCTTCTCTTGCGATGATAGTATTGAGTAATACACTATGAAAAATAGGGTAAATTTTGTCCAAATTTGACCTTATATTGGTTACCCTGACCCAGTTAAGCCCTGCATAAGGGTGTATTAGAGTTATAAATCATGACGTGCAGTAAGAGTGCTAGTGTTCAGACAATATCAGTGGTTACAGTTCAGAGTACCAAGATTGGCATTGGAGCAGTGAGTTGCAGGTTCGATCCCAGCTCTGTGCGCCAGTTTCTGGTCAGAATCGGCGAGGAGGCCGGGCGGTTAAGCACTGCAGAATTGTAGCAGTGAGTTGCGTGTTCGAGACCGCAACAAGCTGTGAATATTCTGCGATGTTCAGAATCGGCGACAGGCCTACGGCCTAATAAACGCTGAAACCGCTATTATATTATTATTAATACAAAAATCACATGCTTTTTAATACTGTTCACGTTTATAAATAAATAGCTAGTAAGCATGGAAAATTTCATATCGCCATCTCAATTACGAGTGAAATAAAGTCCAGCCCAATTTGTGAAGAAACTCATAGGGAAGAGCCCAGCCTGTTCGAAGCCTCGTGGCTCTCAATAGCAGCCTTAATGCATGGCCCTCTCAGGCTCTCACTATACATCGGGCCTGCTAAACGCACCAATTGGCAATTACCATGGTTTCCTTGTCAGAATCGCGCCGAACTCACTTAGACAAGAGCGGCACACTAGTATTCATCTTGCTGTCTTGTCTGTAATTAAAGTTATTTAAGATTAAACGTGTAAGGAATTTATACGAATATAACAGCTAATAATTTTTATTGAACTAGAAACGAATGAAACTTGGACATCAGTGCAGTCTGTCAAGAACTGTAGAGGCTGATGTTCACGAAACTGAAATTAGAGACAAAAGATCTAAATTAAAATAATGTAGGAATACTTGAAATGACTTTAAACTATTATATTCAGCAATTCCAATTCAACGGCACAAGATATGACAGTAACGCAGTTTCCACTTCTAACCTTAAATTAAACATAGTACAATGCAGAACAGGTAGTGTGCACTGGCAGCACCGGAGGCAAGAAGCGAGATGACACGAGACGAGAGGTGAATACCGGGGGTTATACTGTAATATAACGGAATAAACGGTGAGATCGGGTTTCAAATACTAGCAATAATCTCAGTAATATGGTATGAACAAGTTAAAGCTCGACATTTTCACAAGACATAATTTAAGATATTGCGAAGACCAACCTTCAAAATTATTGCCATTGGCGAATTTCGAAGTGGCTTGAATAAAGCCGTTCAGAGGTATATTTGTGGTAAAATGGTGCAATCAATGGAATATTAGTTAATGGCTGGCCCAACTTGTTAAGTTAGCAGAAGGAGGTTAAGGTGCACAAGTGCAATTAGTAGTTTAAGTTAAAGCTCGAAAGCCGGCAATACTGCCAAAGTAATGCGTCAAAGACGACTTTAAATTGTTGGGCCAAACCAAAGAGGTAACGTTGCATGCATTAAATGCCAAAAGGGCCCATGTCATGCATTAATTCAAGTTAATTAGTAAGAGATAGGATGATATTGCACTCGAAAGTTGATAAAGAAATCAACAGTCCAGAACACTGTTAGGTATCACCAATCGCTCACGCCTCCAAAATCCTTTTTCTAATGGTTCCTAGCTATCTAGAAATCAACTTAAAACTAAACTTATTCTACAAGGTCCCGCTCAATTAAAACGGAACATAATTTCTAATAAACGAGTCGCATCAGAAAATATTGCCTATTTTGGGTGTTGCAGTCGTGTTGAAATTTGCGACCAACGGATGCGCTCACAACACAGCTTCCACTAAAAACAACTTCTCGTCCGTTTTATGAAGACTCGGTTGTTCACCACCCGCCTCACGTCTGGACAGTCAATGACCGCAAGGCTGGAGCGCCCTGTGGGCAAAGGCCAAATTAAAACTTTGAAGCCATAATGGTTGTTTTATTAGTTCAAACGACATCCCCTATCACCAGATTAGTATAAAGAAAATAGTTAGTAGCTTCTACCTATCGGGAGGGGTTACCCAGACAGAGAACAAGGGCCGGACGGTCCAGCCTGGGATGGCGCAGCCTGGAGCATCACCGTAATAATTCATCCGGGGGACATCACTTTAGATGAGAACTAAGACCATCTGATGCTACATCTGCTACACTACTTGATCACTACCATCAGGGTCGCACTTCAGAGGGGGCTCACTGTCTGGGGGGTTTGTGAGGGACTTCTAGAAGGATCCTGTACATAATCACATTTACAATAAGGCATGTGAGATAAAATCCTTCCAGGAGTGCTGTGTGCTTACAATAGCATCAAAGGGATGGCTAAGGACCTTTTACGTTAGTGGTTAGGTGATTCTACAACTCTCTCAGGCGCCCTGTGCTGAGCAGGTACTTTGCAAATGCCTCAACTATCATGAATTGCACGGGTTGGGCAAAGTCACCACCCCCGCACAGATTTTTAACAGTTATTGGGACTCCGAGCCCATGCAGGGTTAGTTGTAGCTCGGTCCGTGCAATCGCAAAGAGTGGACACTGCAACAGAAAGTGAACAATTGAATCTATTCTTCCACATTGACAAAAGCTACTCTCTGCTAATCGGAAACGATGCAAGTGTTGTTTGACCCCAACATGCCCAATCCGCAGTCGAGCCAGAACTGTTTCAATGTTTCTGTCTCGACATGATGCCCATGGCCAATACTGAACATGATTCTTTACTGACATTAGGTGTCTTCCCTTATTGGAGGCTTCTACTTCTTGAAGCCAGCTACTCTGCCAGACCTTTTGAAGTGATGACTGGACTTCTCTTATCATATGTTCCCTGCCCAACCCTGGCTCAGATGTGATTTCCTCCAGGCTGTGTCCAGCTTTAGCCGCCAGATCCGCCAGCTCGTTCCCCTCAATGTTCTTATGACCTGGCATGAATTGAATAGAGATAGGACATTTTTGTGCAAGCAGGTAAGTTAACCTATGGATTTCAAAGACACAGGGAAGGTAGGACTTGGGGCGCAGAGATGCTATTAAGGACAAGCTGGACATAGAGTCTGAATATATGACTGCACCTGCCATATGTCTAAAATTGCTCATTAGGAATTGCAAGGCTTTGAGAATAGCAAAAAGTTCACATCCCAAAATACACGTTTGGTTTGGCAGCTTCCAGTTAAAAATACTTTCATACTCAGGGTACCGTACCACCACTGATGTGGCTGCTGACACCTCTGGATGTTCCAGCCGTGAGCCATCAGTGAACACCTCCAAAAATCCATTATAGCGGGTGGCTTGCAGGTCCCTGAACGTTGCTTGCGCCATATTTTCAGTTATTTCCTTGACTGGCACAGGGAGAAAGTTCATACAAATAAAATCATTTAGGTCCACCCACGGAGGGATGGGGGACACCAGTGGCGCCGCATTGGCTGAGGGCAGCTTCACTCCCAACCGGTTTGAGTACAGTGAAATCCTGCACCTCAAAGGAGGAACAAGTATGTTCCCTGCCCAGGGTAAACCATCTGTCGCAGGATTAGTATATATGAGTTCGTTAGCAACAGCAGTATGTTGAGGTAATTCAGCAATTCGTGAAAAGAATCTGAAACTTACCAGCATTCTGTGCAATGTCAATGGCTGTGGACATGGCTTTCAACTTCCAAGGACATTATAGGGGATGTTTTCCGCGCTCCAATAGCTATTGGAGGCAACGGTTCTGAATGATGTTAAGCTTTTGCAAGTGGGCGTTAGGCGCAGTGCAGTAAAACATCGACCCATATTCCATTGTGCCCCTGATCACTGATCTGTAGAATCTCAACATCAATTCCCTGTCTGCTCCCCACCTATACGTTGACATAGACTGCATCAAATTGACTCGTGAGATGCACTTATCTCTGAGGTACTGTAGATGGTCTCGCCACATCAGTCCCGGGGCATCCAGTACCATGCCAAGAAACTTATGCCGTGGGACAATTTCTATTTCTTCATTTCCAACCTTAATTACGGGGTTTGTTATCGATTTCCTGGTTAAAACCATACTCTTGGTTTTGGCGGGATTAACGGAGAAACCCCACTCAAGCATCCATTGATGGAGTTGGCTTACCTGGGATTGAAGTTTTTCCTCGACGTGGGTCACTAGGGCACCACTACAGTATACTGCTAAATCATCGGCATATTCTGAAATTTTAACTTCTGGTACATGAGGTAAGTCTGAAATCATGATATAAAAAAGGGTTGGAGAAAGTACCGATCCCTGAGGTACCCCTGACACAATGGTGAGCTCGTTAGAATAGGCACCTTCAAAGAAGACTTTAAAGGTTCGTGCACTCAAATATGTGTTGATCCAGGACAGCATCTGTCCTCTAATGCCAATCTTCTGCAGTTTGTACAACAGCCCCAGATACCATACACAGTCGTATGCGTTAGACAGGTCAAAAAATACTGCAGCACATAGATGCCTCCTGCTTAAGGCTTGGCGGATGCTCATTTCCAGTCTAGCAACCTGATCTAGCGCACAAAGTCGGCGCCTGAAAACGCTTTGAGTGGAGCTCAGACTCCCAGAGGTCTCCAGGAAGTAAGTCAATCGTGAACTAATAAGGCGTTCTAGCAGCTTTGGAATACATGGTAGTAGCGAAATTGGTCGGTATGATGCTGGATCACTGAGGGATTTACCAGGTTTAAGTATAGGTATGATGGTGGCATGTTTCCATGTGGGTGGTATCTCCGAATTCCTGAAGCTGTGATTAAGCAGTTCCAGTAGCAAGTCTTCATGTTCAGGCGGGAGGTGCTGTAACATTGCATTATGAACCATATCATGGCCAGGGGAAGACATGTTTAATGCCTTCAATGCTTGTCGCAGCTCATACAAAGAGAATGCCTCATTATATGCTACCACATGCTACTCACTCACTGCTACTGCCACTGGAAGAATGTAGGGCTCACCGGCAGGGTGAGCAGTCCTCAGTCCTGCCGCACCCACCAGCTTTGCGTACTGCTCAGCAATTATATTTGCTTTATGAGTAGAATCTGTGATATATTGCTGATTGTAAAATAGTGGGGTAGCACGCTGGGCTGCATGCCTATTCGATAGCTTGCCAATTTTCCTCCATACTTTAGTCACAGGGGTAAAACTAGAAATTCCTGACACAAAGTTTTTGAAGGATTCTTTTCTTGCCTTCTTGGTCTCTTGCTTTACCAGTGCCTCTGCTCTTCGGAGTGCTATCAGATTGGGCAGTATGGGGTGATTCTTTAACTTGTTTCTAGCAGCGTGCCTTTGTTTGACAAGGGCAGCACAGGTCTCGTTCCACCATGGCTTGGAGTATTTTGGGGTCACTAGTTCCCGGGACTTCCGGAACACCGCTTCTGCCGTTTCAGTCAGCTTTGATGTGAGGGCTGTCACATCTCCTCTGAAATCTCCACTTCTCTGGACAGGACCCAAGGCTGCCTTCCATTTCCCCCAGCTGTCGGGTTTAAAGATCCACCTTGGTCTTGCTCTGAAGGTTGCTATGGAAGGATTATAGTTAAGTGAAATCAGCACTGGCTCGTGGTCACTGCCCATCTCCTCCTCCAGCACGACACTTGCACGAGGCACTAAGTCTGTAGACACAAAGCACAGGTCCAGTGTAGAGAAGTTTCCTGTTTGGACATGAAAGTAGGTAGGGAGTGAGTGAGGCGTTATTAAGCAAAGATTGGGAAATTCTGCCAAGCTCTCCACTAAATTAACACCAGTCCTATTGTTTTGCGATCTTGAGTCCCACATGTGGTGGTGGGCATTGAAGTCCCCGACCACAACAGAGGAAGGAGTCAGCTGCTGAAAATATGAACAAAACTCAGCACTGGAAACTAGGGCATTTGGATTATAGATGTTAAGTATTGTAAGACTAGAGTTGCGTCCATTTATTCTAACTGCCTGTACCTCCAGCTCCCCACCCACATAGGCTGTCATAGGAGCAATAGTGCAATTTACATCGTTTCTAACAAGGATGGCCAGACCTCCGCCAGGTCTGTCCTGTCTGTGCCTGTAAAATGCTGTATAGTTTACAAAAGATGGCTCTCGAGACTCCTTCAGCCAGGTTTCGCTCAGGCAAGCTACATGAGGTTTCAAAGAATACAGCCTGACCTTGAAACAGGATAGTTTAGTATATAAGCTACGGCAATTCCAGGCTAGAATCTCAAGTGACTCCTCAGTCATTTTGCTGATTTCTGGCGACCTCTGATGCCTCTTGTTCCAGAACTCATGGAGTGGGGAAGGGCTTTACCTCCCTCAAATTCCCTAGTAGATATGCATCCTCCACTTAAATCCCCTAAACTTGACCTACCACCATCTAATAACCATTCATGTTATTGTGAGATGAAAAAGAGGTTGCAGGCGTACGTTTGTCTAGATTTAGTTCCTCAAGTTCAAAGACTTTCGCGCAACAGTGCTCTCAGCAAACGCGGATTTTGACTTTTCTTAAAGTCAGAAACATTTTTCATATAACAAAAACAATGCTTTCCGATTCAACAATTTAATATAATTTTATTCTTCCTTCAGAATCAAGCAAAAACTTGAAAATTTGGATGAGTTGAAAATTTTGATGAGTTGAGTATTGAACGCTGGAAAACTATTAAAGATAGGAAATTAATATTCAGGGGCGCAGCTAAATCTGTCCTCGTTATACGGAATTAAAGTTATTGTCGCAATATTTTTCTGAAATTAATATTCATATACCGGATTAAAGTGTTTATATTAATAATAATAATAATAATAATAACAATAATAGTAATAATAATATTAATAATATAATAATAATAATAATAATAATAGCGTTTTCAGCATTTATTAGGCCTTAAGCCTGTTGCCGATTCTTAACATCGCATAACTTTCACAGCGTTTTGCGGTCTCGAACTCGCAAGTCACTGCCACAATTCTGCTGTGCTTAACCGCCCGGCCTCCTCGCCGATTCTGACCAGAAACTGGCGCACAGAGCTGGGATCGAACCCGCGCCTCTCTGCGCCAATCCTGGTACTCTGAACTGTAACCACTGGGCCACCCTGCCCTTTATAAATATAATTGTTAAGTGCAAGAAAAATCTTTCCATTTGTTTGTATCTTAATGACTGCGTAGCTAAGTGGAAGTATGTATAATTTCCTAGCGCGTAATGACTTATGGATGATTAAAATAAATAACTGAACATTTTATTCGTCTGTGAAATACATATTTTTAATTAATGGATGTAGGAGTTTGTAATAATAGAAAATGTTCTGACAAATTAAGAAATTCGGCTTATATCATCAACAAGGCGAGACCTATTTCTCTCTTCACTTTTCCAATCAACACCTTTAAATAAAGTTGAATAGATAAATTGTTCAACCCAAATAGATTTTTTCGTCACGCAAACTATGATGTTTCACCTCTCTGGACTAAAATTTCACTGTAAAGAATTTCGTGGCAAACGAACGTAAAATTTTGAAAATAAGTTAGCTTTAATAGCAGATGAGCAAGTTAAGTCATTGTATCACTAATGAACTAGGAAAGGTTGAAAAAAGGCCTCAAATTGATGATGAAACAATGTTGAAATCAAAATTTGTTTCTGGAAAAGTGAAGGTTTTCCCGCAATAAATCCAATAGTGAAGATTCTCAATTTTAACTCATAGATTTACCTTTAGAAATTATGTTTACATCTTCAAAAACTTAAAAATTTTGGACTTTTATCATTCATTGTTTAATTGTTTTTATAATTGAATTATCTTCATCTCATTCATAGCTTCAGTTGTACAACCTGTAGATATAAAATGAATGCTTACATACTTTACGATACCAGGGGCCATACTTTCAAAACTCGCTAAGTGAACGTAAGTACTTACGCTCTATTTTCTTGTCTATGATTGGTGGATTTTGCTCGAAAGGCCGTCAATGATTGGCTGATGAACTTACGATCTCTTAACTTTTTTGAAAGTATAGGCCCAGGTTGCTTGAATATCTACATTTTAGCCCAAAAATCATATTAGTTTGTCGCCCGAATTAATATTCCCTGATGATTTAAAAATATATATTCAATGAAACGAGAAAAACGTGAATTTGACTACATGTGTTTGTGGCAAGACAAGACTATAGAAAAAAAAAGCTTTGTGAAATACACGAGACATACGTAAGTCATTTTTCTATCATGTGATATATGTACTCATGTTCTCAGTTTGAGTTGGTCATTATCCTTGCTTGTCACCTGTCACTCTAACGGGCTAAGTTCAAGCTGTTAATGAGCTAAGTTGAAGTTGCTAATGAGCATTGCTGATATGATATAGAAGTCCATAGACTGACATATCTTTGGCTCAGTTGTAACGAACAACATTTTGGCGAACTTATATATTTACAATACTTGACAGGCTGCATGGCATATTCGATTGATGTTGAAAGACTTTTCGACGCAATATTTGAAAATCGTTTGAAATCGTATTTGAAAAGAGGGCTTTTCGACTATCTTTTTTATTTTCTGACCAGCCATTGTAAAATGCACGAACTAGATCTTTTGAACGGAGGAAAACTTCAAAACTGAGTTGAGTTGAGTATTGTAAAGTTCTCTCGAAAATTTCGACCGGCGAAACAGCTGAGCCTCAGCTGAGGTAATATAATAGGTATTCTAAATACAATAATTCTGATTTTAGTAGTGATATATTACTAATGAAATAATGATAACGGAAAAAATTCTCTAGAGATTTTGATAAAGTTCAATTTAAACAGATTTGAAACGATGCTTGTAAAGCTTTGGCTTTTGGAAAACATTTAAAACAATACGTCACACGAATTCTTTCAAAAAGGCAATAATGTAAAGAAGTTTTTTCCTAACAATATGATATAATATACGACATTTCATTCTAGGTTGAATTCATTTTTTGGCCCAAACTTTGGAAATCCATCGCACGCAGAGCTACAAAAATGTTTCGTTTTCTTAGTGACGCTTAATTAATGAATTTCTGTAAGAACAACCCTCAGACACACCTATGCTTTATTACCGCCTAATACTAAATCAGTCATGTTTTTTCATTAAATTTAATATATTGTTTACAAAGAACGAATTTCTATTGTTTTCTCAATATTATTGTTCTCAATATCAACCCATTCCCCAGCAGGCATTCGGTGGTTGAAACAACTACCTATTACGAAATTGAGGCCGGGGCGAAAGGAGGTTTAGAATGTAAGCAAGAGCAAAATCTTTCATGAAACGAAGTACTGACGTTACAATGCAACGTTGAATCAATGTTGCCAATACAACATTGCTGCAACGTCAAATTCTCTGTTTGAATCGACGTTGATGAGCCAACTTTTTTCGTCCGTAGCAGGATTCGAACCCGGGATTGCTGGAGACCACGCGACGCCTTAGCAACTTTGACCACGGTAGCTCGCGTGCATGAGCAATAGATATAAGCTAAAGAATTGTTCGGCTCCTTAAAAATTGAAATGCATTTTATGGTCATTAATCGTACACTTTTATATATGTATTTCATTCAATGTTCGTGTGATAACAGTAGTTCCATGCTGGTAAATAGCTAATCATTTAACGTACCGATATCGACCATTTTTCAACGTTGAAATAAGGTTGTTTTACGTCCTTTCTAGTTTTGGTCAGATTTCGACGTTGATCGGACGTTTAATTTTGGTTGCTCAGCATTTCAACCTGAAATCAACATTGATTACAAGTTTAAAAATAAATAAGTATTCAACGTACCAATATCGACGTTAATTCAACGTTGAAATAAGGTTGTTATACGTCCCTTCGAATTTTGGTCAGATTTCGACGTTGATTTGACGTTTAATTTTGGTTGTTCAGCATTTCAACCTGAAATCTACATTGATTCAACGTTTAAAAATAAATAAACATTCAACGTACCAAAACGGCATTATTTCAATGTTGAAATGAGGTTGTTTTACGTCCCTTCTAGTGTTGGTAAAATTTCGACATTGATATGACGTTTAATTTTGGATGTTCAACATTTCAACCTGAAATTAGCCAATAATCAATGATGTTTCAAAGTTTGAAACTGGGATAGGAACAAATGAATAATATTGTTCACGATGCTGTTCTTGTCAAGGCGTTGGAGACGCATAAAATTTTTAGCGGCCTGCATTCAGTTTAACTCCTCTCATAACTGTAGATATCAGAGGTGCCTAGTTAAGGTTAAGATAGTGCGAGAACATCGACCTTTTTGTTATACAAAACTCTGGGGTAACTCAGGCAATTATAACCAGCAGCAATTATCAGTTTAGGAAGCTGCGTCTGCAGCACATGAAATATCAGGCAGGACACAAGCCAGGAGCGATCATTTGCTTTTCGGTCTTCTTCACTGCAGCCAAGGTAGAAAAGCGAGTGAAGTAAAACTTCATTATATCATTATTTGTATTTGAATTTTCGGATATTTATGGCAATATTTAACATGGCAATTAGGCTCTATGAACAACAAACGAAAGGTTTTGAGTTGGAACAGAAAGATTTTGAAGAATATCGTTGAAAGTTTCAGAGGAATCCCTTGATTTTTTTTAAATTTTGTGGAAAATTGAGGCTCTGTTGTAATTATATTTAAATAATATCTATTAACACAGGTTTTCGACGCAAACGATAAAAATTAAATCATGTTAAGGTGAAACAATCTAAGCAAGTTCACAAATGACTAATGAGCATTTTTTTATTTTTCGATTTATGCATATCATTCATTAAAGATTCAATCCATGGACAAATAAATACACGATTTATTTGTATACCAAGTTATACCGGTGACTGTTTACTTGGAATTGATTTTTGGCGGGAGGCTTTCATAATTGTATCAAAGTTAAAGATATATTTTCCTACCTGGAGACCATTCAAAAATAAGTTAAATTAAGAAATGCGAAAAAAATTAAATTTTATTTGTTAGAATAGACCTATCAATAAGGTGCAGTACATATCAAGCAAAAAAAGTTATTTTGGTTGTTTACGAATATTCATGTTGCAACAATCGCAATGTTTTTCACTGAAATAATTTGTTTCCATTTTTCGACTTATGATTCCAGAGCAACATTCACGTCATCACTGCTTGTTACTGCCATTCCCAGCCGTACAAACGCACTGAACAAACAGCCTCAAAGTCGGTTGAATTGAACGAGTTCGTAAAGAACAACGTAGAATCAACGGCACCGCGATGAATGTAAGTCTTCAACGTTTGTTGATTTTCTGACATCAGCTGCAATTACTGTTTCTAAGTGCTATTATTTTTGCCAGGTAGCTCATTTTTGGTTTTTAATTGTGAAAACAAGAATTTTGAAAATCGCGAGCAATTGAATTTTTGAGCAATTTATTCTTCTTGTTATTTACCTGTACCACCAGCGTTAAATATGGCTATGTGATTCAGTCCACTGACCTGGCATCGTATTTTTTTTGGTTTTTCAACCAATTTTGTTTATTATTTATAATTACTGGAAAATCAGTTTCAGTGCTTGTTCGCCGCTCAAAAACTAAGATTCTTCCTAAAAGCAATTTTTATTTTTCGTTTAGAAATATTCTTTTTGCCTATAAAAGAGTCCATGCATGGTTAACTTATGATTTTCATATCCGCTCAAGTTTTGTCGTTTCGGCTGGTGGCCGCAGCTCCTGATGGCAGTTCTGCTCTGCACGGTCGCAAGTGCTAATCCTACCGATAGCACCGGTGAGATTTTTATGTCATTGCAATAATTCAGCATGAAATTTATCTCAGATCTCACAAAATTCGTTGAATTTAGGCAAACTGAGCTCGTGCTTTTCCCTCATTTACTTACTACGTTCACGAGATGCCACACAAAACCGTGTTCCCGAAAATTTTACTGCAATTCACATTGCCGGGAGACTACCGGTATGTTCTCAGGGAGTCAATAATGTTGTATTTCCCCATTTTTATGCAGACAATTTTGATTTGCACCTGATGAAACGGAAGGAAATTGTATTGCCTTTAATTAAACGGATTATTTACAGTTTTTCAAATTTTTATGAAGGATGGGCAGTGAAATTACGAACCTAATTCATCACCGAGTTTTCGTGCACAGCGCCGTGCAATAACGGCCAGTTCGTGTGCGCCAACGGCCGCTGCATTCTCGGTCTCTTCCGGTGCGACGACGACGACGACTGTCTCGATGGCAGCGATGAACTCGAGTGTATTCTACGTAAGTTTAGAGCAACGATTCATTGTCTTTCTGCCTATGCTTATTATGAATTCATTTTACAACGTTTTGAAAAACACGAAAAGTAATTAGTAACGTTGAACTTAGGCAGCGGTCCAATCCGATTAAAATAAATGGCGGAATAACTTCATCATTTTAACTCACCGTACTATTACGAAACGATTGCATCTAACGCGCGAAAATAATTATTTTTAATTAGATTTTTTCAACGTCATATTATTAGCAAACTATAACACTGGTGTCAGTCTTATGATACTCTATTATACATTTTCTTGGGATTCTGTCGTAGAATTCAACTTTTTCAGCGAGGAACTATCTATATTAATTAATTTCACGAGTACCTACTATTCTGAAACGAACTTATCCGAGGTGGCTTAGTTAGCATATACACGATGCTTCGATACTGCTGATCAACAGGCGCATACACGATGCTTTTATACTGCTGATCAGCAAGAAATACAAAGCTCGGTTAGGATTATGTTAACAAGTTAACAGGTTGGGCAGGTAACACGTAAAAGCTGTTTAAATAGCAAGTAAATACGTCAATTCCCGAAATAGTTATAACAAATCCCAGACATCTGATAATCCAGTTATCAAATAGTCTTTTATGTTATCAATTAAATTATTTATCCAAAGTAATCTTATAACGAACTATCTTTTCAAACCCATTTTTAACTTTGAAGGTAGTTAAAATTTTTACCTTTTAACGAAAACTAAGCACATGGGGGCTAGAGATGACAATGAAACAAAGTTATGTTCCCTATATTTATCTTTCATTTATTATGTCAGTGAACTGCAACGTATATTATTGCACAGGCGTATGAAGCTTGGCCGGGCTGCCAGAACGGATAGTGGTCAGGGAAGTTCCCAACCAAAGCGTGACGTGCCAGATCTGCAGCTATTAGCCCCCAGCAGTTTCGTTCAGTGCTGCCACAAAAAATATACAAATGAATTTAAAATCATAAATATCCATAATGGTAACAATATTAGTATATAGATCTATTATATTTATAAAATTTATAATCTGTTTAATTTCTCTATATATACTAACTATATCCATCAATTTATCAATTCATCAATTTTGAACTAATAATATAGTTTTAGGTCAATTATCATTTGGTAATACGAAGGGCACAGCCCATCTATCAATTAACAAAGATATAGCATGCCAGCATGCAATATATTAAATTTATTCTGTTATCTATTAAAATTAAATATCTATTATATAAATATTTAAATTAAATATGGCAACCTTTATTTTACTTTGAGGTCAGAGTTTGGCTATGTCAATCTCAGAAACTGTCTGGCACACACCCGCACGACTAAGTGGTACTGAGGACTTACGTTTCATAAAAGACTGAAGCTGGGCCGGGTGGCCCAGTGGTTAAAGTTCAGAGTACCAAGATTGGCGCAGAGAGGCGCGGGTTCGATCCCAGCTCTGTGCGCCAGTTTCTGGTGAGAATCGGCAAGGAGGCCGGGCGGATAAGCAAAGCAAAATTGAAGCAGTGAGCTGCGAGCTCGAGATCGCAAGAAGCTGTGGATGTTCTGCGATGTTAAGAATCGGCGACAGGCCTACGGCCTACTAACGCTGAAACCGTTATTATTGGTGCAGTCAGCTGAAGCAGGTAAGTGGTCCAACTGGGGCTCATGCAGGAGAACATGCGGACGTGGAGAAGTAAGCACCTCATGACTCCCATCACGTGCGACGATGAAGCAGTACCGTAACTGCGGTCATAGCGTCCTGGGATACTGATAACAAATCGACGGCCGCAGGAGGAACTGGTCACAGGATGAGGTGCTAGAGAAGACTGTAAACGTAAATGAAGTTTGGTTCCATTCAAAGGCAATCCCGAAACCGCAAGCTTCTAATACCTCAAAATCGCAAAGGTGGTGCCAGGCAGATAATGTAGTTTAAATGTAACTTAGTACTGAAATGTATTATAGAACGAAAATTATAGTTTTAAGTCTAGTTTTAGCTTAGGTTATTAATCGAACTCTATGAAAGCTTAAAGTTAGCATTTAACGACAACCTTAAAACTATACTATTTTCGACACCTTTTAATACAATTAAATGTTTAAAAAGTTTGAACTTTTTATGTTATTCCAATGCTCAAACCTACCTTTCTCTCTTACTTCCCATATTACTAACTCTATAACTAACTTAGGGAGTTTTAAAATGGAATTAATGAACAATAAGAGTAGCGAAGCTTGTAAATCATTGAAAAACTCATTATCCGACAGCTGGCCAAAACTGCAAAATAAGTGAGTTTGAGTGCGAAAACAGAAAGTGCATCAGGAAATGGTACGTCTGTGACATTGACGATGACTGTGGAGACGGCAGTGATGAGCGCAACTGCAACTACCCCGATGGTTAGTGGCATTTTATTGAGAGGTTTTGATAAGGAATTTGTCTTGAGTTGAGGTGCCGTGGCTTACCTGCTACGGTTTTCGGTCGCGACAATATAATTTATAAGTACGCTAGTGCGAAAGCGGACAGTTATATTGCACTTGAGTCCAATGATTAACCTTTTCCTAAAAAATAGTTTTTTTATATAAATAAAATGGTAACATTTGCAAATTGTTCAGTGGTATTATATTTCAATAGACTCTAAAGGAGAAATGATATCCGAATAACCCTTACGAGAAATTTGAGGGAATATTTTATGTTGGATTTTCTTGATGATCATCAGCCAATTTAAATATCAGTCCCGTGCGGGGAGGACGAGTTCCGATGCGCCAACAGACGTTGCATTGCCACGGGCCTCACGTGCGACGGCGTCGACGACTGCCGTGATGGCAGTGACGAGCTTAACTGCACCCTTCGTAAGTCTCACTTTACTGTTTTTTGTCCCCGTATTTAATGCAGTATATTGATTTGAAACTATGGAAGGAAATAAAAAAATTTAAAGGAACTGTATATAATCCATCCGATGCAAATTGTATAACCACCAAGACAATGGTTGCATACGAATATTTTAATCAAATCATAGTTATTCTCTTGGTGTGGCAGTGAAAGTTAACGTTTACAATTTATAATCATTGCTTGTAAATATGTTAACGATTGTCAGGATTCGAGCGACGAGGAAAACTGTGCCGATTTTGAGTCAAGATATTCTGCACATTTCTGTGTTGCAAAATATGCTGCACATTTATTTGGTGCAAGATATGCTGCCCATTTCTGTGGTGCAAGATATGCAGCACATTCCTGAGGTGCAAGATATGCTGCACATTTATTTGGNTGGTGCAAGATATGCAACACATTTCTGTGGTGCAAGATATGCTGTACATTTCTTTGGTGCAAGATATGCTGCACATTTCTGTGGTGCAAGATATGCTAAACATTTCTGTGGTGCAAGATATGCTGCACATTTCTGTGGTGCAAGATATGCAACACATTTCTGTTGAGCAAGCAGAAGCTGGATTTGTTAATGATATGGAACCAAAGCCATTTTCTTTCCAGTTTTATCACATGGTGCATCGCATTTTGGATCAATGATGCGAAGATAACCCGTTGAATTCTAAGTAAAGTACCATAATTTTTTGGTTGTATAAAGCGAAAATGGCAGATATCCGCTTATTTAAAATACAATATTGATAAGAAGAATATTATAAAAATTTCACATCGAGAAATAAATGATTTTATTTTTGCGAGTATAATTCGGTAAGGCAATATTTTTTTAACATAATTTTAAAATTTAATAATAGTTCTCGAAGTTGCCAAGTCACAAAAAGTGAAAAAACACACTAAGCATACATATAAGTCCTCAATTCTAAAATCCCATGCATTCAGTTTTTCAATTTTAATTGAAAATTTCGACTCCCACTGAAGCAGTCTCAGTAACACGACTCTGGTAAGTACTCGTGAAATCATCTGAGCGCCGCCATGAGCAGCTGGCTTTACACCGACAACTGCAAGTAAGAAAGCGATAAACAAAATCGCAAATTGAACGCAGTACAATGCCTGCGACCTGTGATGGTTTGATTTACTATAATGCTCGATCAATTTAATAAATGCATTATGTAAATCTCGACAGTGTGCAACGGAAGATTTAAAAAGCCGACAATAATATGAATTTTTGTAGAAATGTCTCCAATGATTCTAAAGTGAGATTAGAAAATTAGATCAAATCGCAAAATGAGCGAGATGAAATTTGTAAATTTTGCAAGCTGGTTTCGATTAACGTCAATGACGCTACAGTGGCCTGTGATCGTTGCGGGGATATCGTCTGCAACATTTGTGCAAAGTTGAGCAAGACAGACTGCGTGGTTATTCGCAAGAACAAGGCAGTACACTGGTATTGCCAGGACTGCCAACAACCTGCACTTAGCGCTGTAAAAAGCGAAAAAATGGTGGAAGAGATGCTCTTCTATGTTTTCTGTCTTTAAGGCCGAAATGGAAGAAACCATCAAACAGGAATTGAGAAAGAGTGCCGAAATGGAAGAGAACCACAAGAAAGAACTGAGCTTGTTGCGTAACGAATTACACTCGTTACGAAACGAGCTGGTGGAAATGAAAGCTAATCTGCACACAACAGAAAAAAACGATAACTCAGAAGGTAAAGGCCGCAAAGATGTCATCTCTGATCTCGCCAACGAGAGCACTCGTGAACTGCTGGATAGAGAGAAGAAAACTTAATCTTGTTTGGTTTAACGTTCCCGAAAGCAATGCTCCGGATGCTGAGTTTATTACTGATTGCTGTGCCAAGGCACTTAACGTCGTTGTGAATATAACGGCTTGCAAGAGGCTGCGATCGAAAGACGCTACCGCCTGTAGACCGCTGCTGGTAGCTGTGCAGGATACAGCCCAGGTCGGACATGTGCTTAAGGCTGCGAGAAAACTAAGTGAATTCACAGAGTTTAATTCAATCTTTATTAAGAAGGATGCTACCCCTTTAGAGAGAGAAATTTTTCGCAAGAAATGGCAGGAGAGACTCAGGCGGTAAAGCATGGAGACTCGGGTCAACCAATTTCACGATGTCAAGACAACACCGACCGCACACGGTCAGTCAGCGGAGCTGGAAGACAAGTAAGAAGTCATGTCCATAGAACCAGGCCTGTAAATAATGTAAGAAATAAACGCATGAATCAGAGTGAAAGTGCAGAAAAAACTGCAAAATGTTTTTACACGAACTCGGATTCCGTTTTGAACAAAAGAAAAGAACTATTGAGTGTGATTGAAAACGAGCGTATAGACATTATTTGTATTACAGAAACACTCCCTAAAAATCACGGGGGGAAAATTTTACCTGTTGAATTTCAGTTGCCAGGTTTTGATTGTTTTCATAACTTAAATGAAGAGCAGTGCAGTAGAGGTGTAGCTTTGTGGGTTAGAACCTCTTATGGGGCCCAGCAAGTCAAGTTATCTGCAGAACATCAATCAGCTAGAGAATCCGTGTGGTGCGAAGTTACTCCAAAAGGCAAAGATAGCCTCCTCATAGGCGTCGTGTATAAATCACCAAACAGTTCTTCTGATAACGATAAAGTACTAAACAGTCTTTTACCGAGCATGACTTTCCGTAGGTCACACACGTTGATCGTTGGCGATTTTAATCATCCAGAGCTAGACTGGATAGATGGATCCTCTCCAAGGGAAGAGAATCACCCAGCATCCTTGTTCATGGAGTCAGTAAGAGACTCCTTCCTAGTCCAGCACGTTACCAAACCAACCCATTATA